AACCGGTACGTAGGTGACACTTTCACAATTCTACCTTTAGATAAAGTAACTAAATCTTTAGACCATGTTAACTCAATAAATTCTAAAATTCAGTTCACAATGGAGTTAGAGGCAAACAATACTTTAGCTTTTCTAGATGTGTTACTAATTCGGAATCCTGATAACACCTTGAGCCACACTGTGTATAGAAAAAAGATCCATACAGATAAATATTTAAACGGTGTTTCTCACCATCATCCTTTACAGTTAGCTACCGTGGGTAAATCTTTATTTCAGAGAGCACGAGAGATCTGTGACAGTAAATACCTGGCTGCCGAACTTCAACATGTCAAGCAAGTTTTAACAAACTTCAGGTCCCGTGCTAACGTCACAGTAAACGAGTGAAGGCGTCCACAGTTGAGCGAGTGTCTGCTGTACTGCCATATGTCAGAGGTGTCACTGACAATATTGGCTACATCTTGAAGCGTGTTTACATTAAAACATACTTCAAGCAACCGAAAAAGATTTGTCAGTTTTTACTATCAGTCAAGTGTAATGTCCTTCTGCAAGATGTAGGAGTGTACAAGCTTGATTCTGAATGTGGTCTATCTTATATGGGACAAACTAAAAGATCAATAAAAATGCGCGTTAAAGAACACATAGCTGATGAGAAGAATAGACGCTCCGGGAAGTCTGCAGTCTGTGAACACGTACAGGATCGCCCCCGTCACTACATTAGATTTGATAGATCACAAATCCTTGCTAAAGAACACCGATTCCTTCCAAGAATGATTCGCGAGGCTATTGAAATCAAAAAACATCCCAATTTCAATAGAGAAGATGACTGTTGCTACCATCTGCTTGGAATCCTATAATTAATAAAATTAAATCCTAACCCAAGCAAGACTTCAAGATATTATAAGTTCATACTGCGTAGATCGAAACAAAAATTTATAATTTTAATCTGGAGGTAGCCGTGGTTAACTACGACATTGGGACGACAAACACGATGGGTGCTTTAAAGTGCTTGAAACGTAGGGAATATAAAATAAGTTAACATACGCGATAAAATCCGTAAAAACTAGTTTTATTCAAATATCTTTATAGATATAAACAAATGGTTCGAATTTAATATTTTAGTTTTATTAACATTCATTTTCTGATGGTTACTTTCCATCCACAATATTGCATTTTCAAATTCTTTGGCTAATGATTGCATTTCATTGTTATTGCATACATATGAATTTTATAGAATTTTCTTTATCTTAGTCTAACCTATTTTGTATGTTCATCATCATCATTATTATTAGAGCCCTTCACAAATGCAGTCGCTTGGGCCAGTAAAAACAAAAAAGGAAGCCTCGTACGCTATTCAATTTTGTTTGAGATTAGTGTAAGTAGAAGTGTAGAATAGATAAGTGCGAGACGTTTGGTATTGCGAACCCCAATTTATTGCCGAGAATGGGGTTTAAGGCAAATCTTTTATACTTCTTGAGGGCACATGACGAGACATGAAATATGTACTGACTAATGAGAATGAGGAATAGTCCAGCCCCGGACAAAGTTTTCTGTCCAATTTTGTTATGTCACCGATTGGTGGGGTTTACACAATATTACTTACGGCCTTGATTATAATCGTTTACTTAAAAATATTAGGCATCTGTATACCTGTTTTTATCTGTAGTAATTTAGTGCAAAGAGAAGAACCAACTTCAAGCATTTCTTACATTGACATCTAATTCTATAACTAAGGCCGTCAATCTTTAGTCTCTACTATACGCTACAACTATACGCTATAATGAGCTGTTACTTAAAGAAAGGGATGACAACGAAAAGGAAATAATAAGTATAATTTCGAAAAATACTCAATTGAAAAGTGATATGGTTAAGTTACATAGAGACTATACAGATATTTTAAAGGAAAGGGATCAGCTCCAGAGGACAGTCGATGAGTTTGACCGATGCAGCAAAGAATATGAGGAATCCCTCAGATTAATTGCTGCATTGAAATTACAATTAACTGAAGCTAATGAGCAAATTTCAGAATTTAAACAAAACATTGATAACTTGCATGCACTTAAAACTCAGAGTATGTTCGAGGAGCTCGTAGAATGTAAATTTCATAAAACGTTGCAACCCTCCACAACAATAGATTTGACTGATGATTCTACCACATCAAGAACAGCAGAAAGGATTACAAGCAGCAGAAGGAAATTAAAAAAATATATAAAAATTAATAAATATATTAGGAAAGTGCAAAAATTAGTTAAAACTAAAATTAATATTAAAAATTATACAAATGTATGTAAGGAAAAGCAAGAGTTAATTAGTAAAATTAAATTATATTCAATTGAGGTGGAAAACATGAAAAATTGTTATGAGACTGAAATAGAGTGTCTTAATTCAGAAATTTTATCACTTCAAACCTCATTACAAATTACGTCAAATAAATATCAATCTGCAGGGAATGAGATAAAAGAACACATACTGGCCATGGATAATCTGGTAAAGTCCTGCAAATATAACGAGGAACGTTTTGACTCCTTATTAAAATATCAAAATGAATATCAGCGCTCACTGCCAGGTTCTTTAGGGACAGTGTGTGTTAATAATATGACAAGCAGTAATACTTCATTTTCTTTACCTACACTCTATGATAGTACCATAACAAAGCAGATAAATTTAAAAAGTAATTCATATAATGAAAAAAATAATATAATTGTGTATAGTGATGACATAGGCAAAAACTTGGGTATATCATTGAATAACTGTTTAAAAAGGCAACAGATAAGTAATTACTGCATGCCTGGAGCATCATTCAGTGATATTATGAATAAAATTTTAACTAGTAAATTTAACCCTAATAGTATATTAATAATTTTTGTTGGGAGAAGAGGCAATATGAACAAGAATCAATTATTAAAATATATTGAATATCTCAATAACATAAATGTGGTTAAAGTTATCTTGTTTACATTGCCTTATATAGAGGGGTGGCCACAGGAAAATAAACTAAGACATAATTTAAATTTAATGATGCATAACTTGACATGTAACAATAACTTAAATTTGACATTTAATTGTAAGAATAATAATGATAAATTTCATTTAATTGATATTAATAATTTAACTAAGAAGTTTTTGACAAGAGATAGGTATTACCTATCAAAGTATAGTTTAAGACTGGTAGCAGATACGCTATCTTATTATTTATATTTTAACTCAGCCAATGATTTGGCTACCTTGACACCTGCTTCTTTTGAGCAACAAAATAAATTTACATTTGATTTGGAACCAGTTCCAAGTAATTTAAATTAGATAATAAGACAATAGAGGTAATCTCTAGCAAAGATAATTTAAATAGCTTAGAATGCAACTTACCAATACATAATTATGCAATTTTACAAAATAACAATAATAAAAACTGTATCAACCTGGTGCATCAAAATATACAAGGTATGTTAGGCAAAGAATTAGAAATTGAATTATTTTTAAATAGTAACAGTATAAATATTTTATGTATTACAGAACATTGGTTGAAAGAATACAACTCCATATTTAATTTCAGTAATCACCAGGTGGTCAGTTCGTTCAATAGAGATACTAAATTACGTGGTGGCTCCTTAATATTAGCTAATAAGTCCTTATCATGTAAAGAACGTAAAGACATTGTGAGCCTCTCTGTTGAGCGTACTGTAGAAATGGCATGTGTTGAGCTTGAGCACCTTATTGTTGTCAGTGTTTACAGACCCCCATGTTCAAGTTATGATACTTTTGAAAAAATTATGGAAGAAGTTTTAGTTAAGCTTAATAAACAGAATAAATCTCTTGTAGTGTGTGGAGACTTTAATATCAATCTCCTGGAAACTTCTTCCATCAGTATTAAATTCTGTTCTTTGTTCAAATCCTATAATCTTAATAATTTATTCTTTGAAGCTACACGTATTGCAGGGTGTAGTGCAACTTGTATTGATAATATTTTTACAGGTGTTGTACCAATCAACAAATCAATAATTCAAAAACTTAGTTCAGATCACTGTGGACAACTGGTTTCGTTACCTTATATGCACAAAAAACAGGTAAATGAGAAAATTGTGTTTGTTCCTATTAATGCAAAACGCCTGGAGAGATTTAGAAGTAATATGTTAAAAATCCTTCCATCCCTTTCTTATAAGAACAATGCAGACTATTTATATAGAGAATTATTTACCTTTATAAACAATGAATTTAATAAAATATTCACTTCTAAAACATTCTCCAGAAACAGTCGCAAGGCATTTAATGAGTGGGCGACAGTAGGAATTCATAAAAGCAGACGAAGGTTATATGACCTTTACCATGAAAGATCGTATAATCTTTCCGATGCTTTTAAAGAATATGTAAAAAATTATTCTAAAATGTTTAAAAGAGTTTGCTCCACAGCCAAATCATTACATATTAGTAACAAAATTAAGACAGCTAAGAATAAAATTAAAATGACGTGGAGTATAATTAACAGCGAAACCGGTAATGAGAAACCTCGTAATTCAAACTATCAATTAAAAATTAATAATGAATTGACTAAATCAAATCAAGAAGTTGCCGCGGTGTTTGAGAAATATTTCACTGATGTTCCTATCTTGACAACAGAGTCATTGAATGCTTCTCCAACTGTCGCCGAATCATTACTTAAACAGAATGTTAATACCTGTTTAAAAGAATTTAGATTTGAAAAAGTATTACCGCATAATATTGTAAAATACTTCAAAACCATTGATGTAAAGAAAACCGCAGATTTGTGGGGGATTTCCGTTACAGTGATTACGTCCATAATAGATTTAATTGCACCTCATCTTGCTATTATTTTTAATACTTGTATCGATTCTGGTGTGTTTCCTGATTTAATGAAGTATAGTAAAGTAATACCTTTATTTAAATCTGGTAGTACATTGGACCCCGCTAATTATAGACCTATTTCTGTACTACCAACTCTCAGTAAAATTTTTGAAAAAATAATTTTGGATCAATTGTTAATTTTTTTTAATACAAATAAATTACTTCATAAAAATCAATTTGGTTTTACAAGGGGTTGCTCGACGTCTGACGCCGGTGTTGAGCTTATGAAATATATTTTTAATGCCTGGGAGAATTCACAAGATGCCTTAGGTATTTTCTGTGACCTTTCCAAGGCTTTCGATTGTGTTCATCATGATACATTAATCAGGAAACTACAACATTACGGTGTAAAAAATTTGGCGCTTAAACTTATTACTTCATATTTAAGTAACAGAACTCAAAAAGTCGTCATTAATGGTAAATGTTCCTCCGGATCGGTAGTATCAATGGGCGTTCCTCAGGGCTCGATTCTTGGCCCATTCCTGTTCTTAATCTATATTAATGACTTACCTTATCTTGTAGGGGACAATCACGATATAGTATTATTTGCTGACGATACCTCTTTAATTTTCAAACTGAAACGGCAGTCAATTAAATACGACGATGTAAATAATGCTCTATCGAAACTAGTACATTGGTTTAACGCCAACAATTTGCTCTTAAACGGCAATAAGACAAAATGTATTAAATTTACAATACCTAATGTAAAACATTCGAAAACCAATGTGCTCTTAAATGGGGAGGAGTTGAGTCTTGTGGATACCACTGTTTTTCTCGGTATTACTATTGACGCGAAACTTCAATGGGGCCCCCATATATCTAAATTAGCAAGCAGACTTAGTTCTGCAGCATATGCTGTAAGAAAGATTAGAAGTCTCACAGATGTTGAGACAGCTAGGTTAGTGTATTTTAGTTACTTTCATAGCGTAATGTCTTATGGAATTTTGCTATGGGGTAATGCGACTGATATTGAAGCTATATTTGTTTTGCAAAAGAGAGCCGTACGGGCGATTTTTAATCTAAATTGTAAAGAGTCCCTTAGAGAAAAATTTAAAGAAATAAACATATTAACTTTGGCATCGCAATATATTTATGAAAATGTAATGTATGTACATAAAAACATAAATAGCTTTAATAAGAATAAGGATGTTCATACCTTAAACACTAGGAACAAACATAAGCTTGTAATGCCACTTACAAGACTCCACAGAATTAGTAATTCATTTATGGGGCAATATATACGCTTTTACAACAGAATCCCAGAACATGTTCAAAGTTTGTCAATAAACAAGTTTAAAAGTTTTATTAAAGAAAAACTGTACAAAAAGGGTTATTATAATATCAAGGAATACATGAGTGAAAATAACCCCTGGGAATAAGGTGATCGCCACCATGCTGGTTCTATGAAAATTCATTTAAAATTGTATAATCAAAATTATTGTTAAGTGAAATTATGTTTAAAAAAAAAGTCCCGCTGGGTTTCTTGCTGGTTCTTCCCAGGACAGAGGTATTTTCCGAACCAGTGGTAAATAAAATATGACTTTCAATAAGTATTATGTAATAATCCATATTGAATAAAAATCATTCTATTCTATTCTATTCTACGCATAACTACTCCGCTAACGTTTATTTAAACAAAAATTTTTTATGGTGTAAAGTTTAAAAAAATTATCACAGATGTTTTGAAATATAACGATAGTAGACAACATTTTAAATATTGAGTATTTATCAAAAATATCTATTGACCGAACCTCTCACTAAAAATATTAAGAAGCTCGTTTTCTCTTTCGCATATAAAGAAACATCTGTGTGCTTCACAGCTGATATCATTTAAATGGCCGTTGTAGAACATCGAACCGCATTGCTCATTTTCTCCACCATCAGGCTCATTGTTGCCCCACACAGCGTAACCCGCGTCATCCAGTGTTTCTCCTGTATAACAAACATTTATATAAATAAATATAGTTTTATTTTCATAGATTTTATTTATAGAATAAGGGTGACAAGTGAGCACACAGCTCATCTGATTTTAAGTGAATGATGTAGCCCATAGACATCTACATCTATCCCCAATTAAGAAAATCAAAATGCAGACGCGCTGTCACCCCTGAGAACTAAGATGGAATGCCTCGCATCCAGTAAAAAGGGTCTCCGGTTGTCTACACTTATCATAGGAAACACAACCTCATTAATCTATTATTTTATCTTGGTATTCAGTGAAACCATGGTCTCACTGAATTCCACAGTTGCGGACCGCCAATCATCGAAATGGTACGGATGCTATTTCGAGTTCTGTCGCGATGAACAGTGGTAGAGCCAAAGCGGCAGCTTTTGCTGTCGCACGGATGGGCCGGCTCGAACCGGGGTGGTACCACGACCTCACAGAATACTAGCGTGAAGTAGAGGTTTACCTCTGCGTTGCGCTTGGTGAGTGCTGGTGGCCGGAAGCCCAATTCGCCCCCCCCCTCCCCCGCCATCAACATGGTAGTGTATAAAAGAGAAGAGTAGTAAATAAAAGACTACCCCAGGAGGGTACCAGCACCTCTGGAGAATCCCTCGCTGAGCATCCACGAACTACTTCACTCCTGAGCGTGGGTGCTCAGGTTGCCTCGCATATTCTGGGGAGGGGGGAGGGCAAAATTCCGCTCGCGACTAATGCTGCTCGGGGCAAGCGGAGCAATACAACCAAGGCGACCCCTGTCACGCTATCCATGAATTTTTGCAACATCAGGGGACTTCATTCCAAACTTAACGCTGTCCATTACCATCTAGAGACGGCGAAGCCGGCCTTGCTCTTTTTAACCGAGAATCAGGTGTCCTCTCCGGCTGATACTTCATATCTCTCCTACCCGGAGTACAAATTGGAACACTCCTTTGTGCCCCGGGCTGGAGTTTGCGTATACGTCAGAGAGGACATCTGTTTTCGACGCCTCGGCAGTCTTTAAGGTACGGACCTGTCCATCCTATGGCTGCGCGTAGACAGCGACGACCATCCCAGCGTCTACGGGTGTCTCTAGAGGTCCCATAGCGGTAATGCCGACACAGACCGACTCATCGACCACGTCCAAATGGCTGCAGACTCCGTGCTACAACAGGTCCCATCCGCAGAGATCGTGATACTCGGTGATTTTAACGCCCACCACGCTGAATAGCTTGGTTCTCGTTTAACCGATCATGCGGGTAGATCTGTCTATGACTTTGCTTTGACATATGGTCTAACACATCTGGTTACTTCGCCTACGCGGATCTCGGATGTGGAAAACCATGTAACTTCCCTGTTGGACCTTCTGCTGACCTCTCCCCGGAAGGATATCAGGTGTCAGTCGATGCCCCTCTGGGCTCTTCGGGCCATTGTCTGATCCGGAGTACGGTGCCACTCACGCTCCAATCGCAGTTGCGATCTGCAGCTTGCCGCCGTGTTTGCCACTATAGGTCAGCCGATTGGGACGGGATGCGGTCTTTTTTTGCATCCTACCCTTGGCGGGGCTTGGGCGGATTTGCTTCTCGCCGGAAGATCCCAGTGTTGTTGCCGATTCTATTGCTAATGTGGTGCTTCAGGGTATGGAACTTTTTATTCCATCCTCTGTGGTTCCCATCGAAGGCAGATCCCAGCCATGGTTTGGTCGCTCCTGTAAAATATCATCACGCTATAAGCAGGAGTGCTACCGGGCCTGGGCTGACGCATCAACGTCTCGGGATGTAAATACCAGCGCACTTAAAAAGAAGTATAATTCCGCCTCCAGGTTCTTCAAAAGCGTCATTGCCAAGGCAAGGTCGGAGCACATGGGCAGAATTGGCGAGAAGCTAGTTCGCCTTTCTTCGGGAACCCGTGCATTCTGGTCTCTCGCCAAGGCTGTCCAAGGGAACTTCTGTCAGCCATCTCTTCCATCTCTGCACAGAGAGGACGACTCACTGGCCTATGCCGCAAAGGAGAAAGCCGATCAGTTGAGCTCTCTCTTTGCGTCCAACTCGACTCTAGATGACGGGGGGAACACACCGCCGACCATCCCGCAATGTGAGTGCTCCATGCCGGATGTGCGGTTTACACAGCGCTCGGTTCGCAAAGCACTCTTCTCCCTGGACGTCAGCAAGTCGAGTGGGCCCGATGGAGTTCCTCGCATTGTGCTGAAGATGTGTGCTCCGGAGTTGGCACCGGTTTTAACGCGTTTTTTCCGGTACTCCTACTCCCAAGGCGTAGTTCCGAATTCATGGAAGACAGCTTTGGTCCACCCGATCCCTAAAAAAGGCGACCGCTCAGACCCATCCAACTACAGTCCTATCGCCATCACCTCCTTTTTCTCCAAAATAATGGAATCCAATAAAAACTGCCAGCTCATGAGGTACCTTGAGGATCACCAGCTGATTAATGACCGCCAGTACGGATTCGTCGGGGTCGATCAGCTGGTGATCTTCTAGTCTATCTGACTCATAGATGGGCGGAGGCAGTAGAGTCCAAGGGGGAGTCATTGGCCATTAGTTTGGACATAGCGAAGGCCTTCGATCGGGTCAGGCACAAAGCGCTTCTTTCGAAGCTTCCTTCCTATGGGCTTCCCGAGAAATTGTGCAAATGGATCACCAGTTTCCTTGCTGATCGGAGCATCAAGTTCGTAGTAGACGGTGCATGCTCTGATTTCAAGCCTATCAACGCTGGTGTTCCACAAGGCTGCGTGCTATCACCAACGCTGTTTCTCTTGCATATCAATGATATGTTGTTGACTGGTAGTATTCATTGCTATGCGAACGACAGCACTGGTGATGCCTTATATACCGGCCGTGCCAATATTTCTCAGGAAAACGTCGCCGAGTACCGGGACAAACTTGTGTCTGAAGTCAAGTTTTTGCTTAACAACGTCTCGGATTGGGGGCGAGTAAATCTAATCCAGTTCAATCCCCAGAAGACACAAGTTTGCGCGTTTACCGCTAAAAAGAACCCCTTTGTCGTATCTCCCCAGTTTCATGGCACTCCCCTTGCTGCCTCAGCTAGCATCGGAATCCTTGGCGTCGACATATCTAATAGTGTACTGTCACTTGGAAGGGAAGGCCAAATTGGTCTTTAAAAAGCTTGGCGTGCTCAGCAGAGCGAGACAGTATTTCATGCCGGCACATCGCTTGCAACTTTACAAAGCGCAATTTCGGCCCCACATGGAATACTGTGCTCATCTCTGGGCCGGGGCAACCCAGTGCCAGCTCCTTCCACTTGACCGCATCCAGGGCAGAGCGGTTCGAATTGTCGACGACCGAGTTCTTTCTTGATACACTGGCACTGCGTAGAGATGTTGCATTTCTTTGCGTATTTTATCGCATCTATCACGGGGAGTGCTCTGAGGAATTGTTCGGACTAATTCCAGCCTCTCAATTTCATCATCGTACATCGCGACAAAACTCGCGTTACCATCCATACCATCTGGATGATTGGCGGTCCACCACTGTGCGATTTAGAAGAAGTTTTCTCCCTCGCACAACTTCCTTGTGGAATCAATTACCACCAGCGAATTTTCCGGAATGATACGACTTAGGAACCTTCAAGAAAATAGCTTACTTCTTTCTAAAAGGCCGGCAACGCATTTGCAATTCCCCTGGTGTTACGGTTGTTCATGGGCGGCGGTAGTCACTTACTCGTTTGCCCCCTCTTCTATGAAAAAAAATGTGCGATGGTGAAATTGAGCGGCTGGAATTAGTCCGAATAATTCCTCTGAGCACCCATCGTGATAGCTACGATAGAATACGCAAAGAGATGCAACATCTCTTCGCAGCGCCAGAAAGAGTTTGGTCGTCGACTATTCGAACCGTTCTGCACTGGATGCGATTAAATGGAAAGAGCTGGCACTGGGGAACCTCGGCCCTGAGATGGGAACAGTATTCCATGTGCGGCCGAACCTGCTCCTTGTAAAGTTGCAGGCGGTGTGCCGGCATGAAATACTGTCCCGCTCTGCTGAGCACGCCAAGCTTTTTAGAGGCCAATTTTGCCTTCTCTTCCAAGTGACCACGAAACTGCACGTTATTCGATATGTCGACGTCGATTTCGATTTGTCGATGACGCTGAGAAGTCAACAAGGAGAGCGCCCTGAAACTGAGGATACATGATAAATGGGTTCTTTTTAGCGGTAAACGCGCAAACTTTTGTCTTCTGGGGATTGAATTGGACTAGATTTAGTCGCCCCCAATCCGAGAATTTGTTCAACCAATACTAGACTTCAGATACAAATTTGTTTCGGTACTCGGCGACGTTTTCCCGATAAATATTTGCACGGCTGGTGTGTAAAGCTTCGACAGTATTGTCGTCCGCATAGTACTGGTTTGCAACATATCATTGATATGTAGAAAAAACGACGTTGTTGATAGCACGCAGCCTTGTGGAACACCAGCGTTAATAGGTTTGTAATCGAAGCATGCATCGTACGACCTTGATGTTGCTCCGATCAGCCAGAAAACTGGTGATGCAATTGCACAATTTCTCGGAAATCCCATTGAAAGGAAGCTTCGAAAGAAGCGCTTTGTGCCAAACCCGATCGAAGGCATTCGCCATATCCAAACTAACTGCCAAAGCCAACCAAAGTGTAAAAGAGAGCCTAAAAGGTCGGCTTTCTCTTTTGCGACGTGGGCTTACAAAGTTCCCTTGGACATCCTTGGCGAGAGAACATAATGCACGGGTTCACGAAGGAAGGTGAACTAATTTCTCACCAATTCTACATTGTCAGATTGGCGATTCTGCCAATGTGCTCATGCTTTGGCTTGTCAATAACACTTTTGAAGGACCTGGAGGCGAAATTATACTTCTTTTTAAGCATGCTGATGTTTACATCACGAGCCGCCGAAGCGTCAGTCTGGGCTGATAACACTCCTGCTTACTGCGTAATGCAGTCTTACAGGAGCGACCAAACCAAGGCTGAGATCTGCCTCCGGTGGGTACCACAGATGATGGAATAAATAGTTCCATTCCCTGTAGCACCACATCAGTGACAGAATCAGCAATAGCGCTGGGATCATCTGGCGAGATTGCTTCTTGCCAGATGATCCCAGCGCTAATCGGCGGCGAGAATCCACCGACATGAAACAGAAACAGAAACAGAAACTTTTTTATTCAATATAGATTATAAATAATACTTATTGAAAGTCACTCTTTTGTATAATTACCACTGGTTCAAAAAAAAACTCTGTCCTGGGAAGAACCAGCAAAAACCCAGCGGGACTTTTTTTTTAAAATAACAGCTTACAATCATGTATCTTACATAAATTAACAACACAACAAATTAGAAATAGCTTGGTAGCGATCACCTCTTTTCTAGGGGTTATTATCATCTATAAATTCTTTAATATTATAATAACCCTTTTTATACAAACTTAGTTTAATAAAGTTTTCGTACTTTGAGCAGGTCAAATTTTGTATATTTTCTGGAATTTTGTTGTAAAAGCGTATACATCGCCCCAAGAATGAATTACTGATTCGATGGAGTCGAGTAACTGGTACTACTAGCTTGTGTCTGTTCCTAGTATTTACAGAATGAATATCACTCATTTTTGTAAAACTACTTTTATTTTTGTGTACGTACATTACATTTTAATAAATGTATTGAGAGGCCAAAGTTAATATATTAATTTCCTTAAATTTTTGTCGCAGCGACTCTTTAGGCTTTATTTCATAAATTTTTCTTATGGCCCTCTACTGTAAAACAAATATAATTTCAGTGTCAGCTGCGTGTCCCCATAGCAAAATACCACTCGATATTATGCTATGGAAATAGCTAAAGTAAACTAGTCTAGCTGTTTCAACACTAGTTAGACTTCTAATCTTTTTTACGGCATATGCATACGATATATGGGGGCTCCATTGAAGCTTCGCGTCTACTGTGATTCCACGAAAAATGTGGTATCTACAAGACTCAGTTTCTCCCCATTTAAAATTACATTAGTATTTAATTGTTTGACATTTGGAGTCATAAATTTCATACATTTCGTTTTAGTGCCATTTAAATGCAAATTATTAACATTGAACCAATTTACTAATTTAGATATAGCGTTATTTTATTCGTCATATTTTAGCAATTGTCGACTTAATTTGAAAATTAAAGAAGTGTCATCTGCAAATAATACTATATCATGGTTATCTCGTACTATGTAAGGTAAGTCATTAATGTATACAAGAAACAGAAAGGGGTCGAGAATTGAGCCTTGAGGCACGACCATTTGTACCATGGACCCGGAAGAACTATTATTAATTATTAATGACAACTTTTTGCGTTCTCTTACTTAAATATGAAATAATTAATTTAAGAGCATCACTTCTTACACCGTGGTGTTGAAGTTTCCTGATTAATGTTTCATGGTGAACACAATCGAAAGCTTTGGATAGGTCACAAAATATGCCCAAAGCATCTTGTGAATTCTCCCATGCATTAAATATATATTTAATCAGCTCAACACCGGCATCAGTTGTCGAGCGACCCATTGTGAAACCAAATTGATTTTCATGAAGTAAATTAGTTATAATAAAGAAATTTAACATTTGATCAAGAATAATTTTTTCAAAAATCTTACTAAGTGTTGGTAGTACAGAAATAGGTCTAAAATTGGCGGGGTCTAATGTACTACCAGATTTAAATAAAGGTATTACTTTACTATGCTTCATTAAATCAGGAAACACATCAGATACGATACTAGTATTAAAAATAATAGCTAAATGAAGCGCGATTGTATCTATTATAGACGCAATAACTTTTACGGAAATCCCCCACAGATCCGCAGTTTACTTAACATCAATAGTTTTAAAATATTAAAACGTGTAATGCCAAATACGGCATCAGCCTGCAGAACGCAACCGTGAGGGGAGCGTGAGTGAAACCACACTCCGGATCAGACAATGGTCCGAAAAGCTGAAAGGAGCGTCGACGGAAACCAACAGAGGTCCAACAGGGAAGTTGTATGATCCTCTACATCTGGAATCCGCGTAGGCGAAGTAACCAGTTGTGTCAGACCATATGCCCAGGCAAAGTCATAAGTAGATTTCCCCGCATGATCGATTAAACGTAAACTGAGCCATTCGGCGTGGTGGGCGTTAAAATCGCCAAGTATCATGATCTCTACGGATGGGATCTGTTGTAGCAAGAAATCTGTGGCCATTTGGACGTGGTCGATGAGTCGATGGGACCTATAGAGACACCCGTAGAGGGAATGGTCGTCGCTGTCTACACGTAGCCAAAGGATGGACAGGTCCGTACCTTCTAGACTGCCGAGGCGTCGAGAACAGATGTCTTCTCGGACGTATACGCAAACTCCAGCCCGGGGCACAAAGAAATGTTCTTGTTTGTACCCCGGGAAGGACAGGTACAAATTATCAGCTGGAGAGGACACCTGCGTCTCGGTCAAAAAGAGCGAGTGCAGCCTGAGCACCCACGCTCAGGAAGAAGATGGTAAATTAACCGATGCTCAATGAGGGATTTTCCATTACCAGGGTTGCTGGTACTCTCCTGAAGTTGTGTTTTCTTTTTGAATTTCGCTACCATGTTATAGAAAAAGCGAAACGCAGAAGCAAAGCTTCTACTTTACGCTAGTATATAGGTAACGTGGTATAGCCATGCTGCAGCTATATTAGTAGTATAGTTGTAGCACGAATGGGTTGGCTCGACCGGGGAAAGACCACGCTCTCACAGAATACCAGCGCAAAATAGCAGCTTAATGTTGCTGTATTTTTTATGGGGAGTGTAGAGAACCGGAGACCCATTTTACTGGAAAAGAGCCATTCCATCTTAGTCCTCATGGGTGACGACGCATCTGCATTTTGATTCTTTATTGAGGATAAATGTAGATGTCTATGGGCCACAGTAACCACTTACCATCCGGTGAACTGTGTGCTCGTTAGTAACCCTATCATATAAAAAAGTAGTATTCTGTGAGGTTGTGGTACTGCCCCGGTTCGAGCTGGCCCATCCGTGCTACAGCAGAAGCTGCAGCGTGACTCTACCACTGTTAAAAAGGGTCAAAGCCATCCTTAAAGAACTAAAAGGATTAAAATAATTTCCAAATAATAGCTTCTGTAGTCGACACTAAGTGTGACCAAACAAAGACATTCATAGTTGTGATAATGATTTTATTCTTTTTAGATTTTTATAGACAGCTTTTTATTCACTTTTTAATAAAAGTATAATTTTTTGATCCATATGCGTTGTCTTAGGAACATCGCAAGCTCGCGATATCACGATAACGACTTGAATGTCGTCTAAATAGCTACATTATATAACATTTAATATTTTCTATACATACCTTACGCGTACCAATTTTTCTCCAAATTCATAGTAACAAACATACAAAAAAAGAACAAGCAGTCTAATTGAGAACATCCTCCTTTTCTTGAAGTCGGCTAAAATGGGTCTTAATATAATATTTTATTTATGTGAACCTGAATTTTCATGAGTTCCATTTATTTTTTAGCTCAAGAGAGGCACTGTGGCATTACAGTGATGTTTATTTTACCACATTATTCAGAAAGTTAAACTCGCACAACATTATTTGTTAAAACATTTTGAATAAGATTACATCATGTATGATTTACCCCCAAGTTATCTACAACAAAGTATTCTCTGCTACGTTCCTATTTGAATGGTAAGCGAACTTTAAATATGAGGCATCATTTCTACTTAATATCAGATGGTATAATAATTTTAATTTCTTAGACATGCAGAAATTTCACGACGTTTTCTTTACCACCGGAAACGTGGTAAATCAGCGCATAAGAATAGAACTCACAGTTTCATAGTTGCTGGAGAGGATCAGACTCGGTTTGCTTGTGTATTATAACTACGGCTCATTCGCTGCGCGCTTTGTAGTCACTTTATTGTCGTATAAAGTTAAGCAAACCTGTAGTTGTTCTCCATTCGTTTTCAGACGTATCGTAGCTGAATCCTAGATGAACAGCTCCCCGTAAGTGCGATCCCTTCACCTTGTTCTTAGGCGCTTCCGCAGTTATGTTAACAAGATAGTCTGCTTCTTTTTGGGAATTGATAATGGCTAAGTAGGCATTCTCAGAGTCGCACGCGTCAATCGCATCTCTCCAATTGAGGGGATTTAAGTGAAATTTGTAGCACCTGCCTAAACCTTCGTTATATTTGTAATCTGAAATGACAAAGACACATGTTTGAAAAAAATATAAAAAATATTTTATGGTTGATTTTAGCAGTTGAAACAGTTAAGAGAGATTTTCCATTATATCTACTAGAAGTTATTAAAAAACAATTTGTAAATAAGATATTCTATTGTAAAATTTTGGTGAATAATACGTAGCTAGAAATATATATATATATATATATATATATATATATATATATATATATATATATATATATATATATAATTATATAAAGAATTAGTCCGAATAATTCCTCTGAGCACTCATCGTGGTAGCTACGATAGAATACGCAAAGAGATGCAACATCTCTTCGCAGCGCCATAAAGAATTTGGTCGTCGACTATTCGAACCGTTCTGCGCTGGATGCGATCAAGTGGAAGCAGCTGGCACTGGGGAGCCCCATCCCAGAGATGGGAACAGTATTCCATGTGAGGCCGAACCTGCGCCTTGTAAAGTTGCAGGCGTTGTGCCGGCATGAAATACTGTCCCGCTCTGCTAAGCACACCAAGCTTTTTAGAGGCCAATTTGGCCTTCTCTTCCAAGTAGGGTTGCCAGATGGTCGGGATTCGTCTGGATTCTCCCGACATTTTAAATGATCTCCCGACTCCCGACAAAACTCAAAATCTCCAGACAAACAGCTCCTCGAAATGTTCTATACAAAATAATAATTTAAAATTGAAATGCAACCAAAACGAAATTAAAAATGTTGTCAATTCTTGTAAGCAATGCTTATTGTGAAAGGGTATTAAGTTTACTAAATAATTTATATACTAAAGAGACAAATCGTATGGCTATTGATCTAAAAAAGCTGGGTTACTAATAATAATGAACTTTGAGGAAAATTGTTTAAATTTTAAATCTTTTCTTCTATTCCTGGCTACGGTGGCGACCATGGTAACGGCGGGGCAGGGGTGCTAAGAATCTCCGGTGGAGGTTCGGTTGCCACCTTAGACGAATCGACGCACGCACCCTGAGGACTGACGAGAAGATAGTGGGGCTGGAAGAAGAAATAGAAAAGTTGCGCTGGCATATTATAGGATTATCCGAAGTCCGAAGAGAGGGGGAGGACACGGTAATCCTCGAATCCGGCAACTTGCTCTATTACCGGGAGGGCGACCATCTGTCCCAAGGAGGTGTCGGATTTATCGTCCACAAGTCTCTCGTTAACAACTTTGTAAAGATCGGGAGTGTGTGGACGAGGGTTGCGTACCTTATACTCAGAATCACCAAACGGTATTCGCTGAAGGTCATACAGGTTTACGCACCAACCTCGGCACACCCCGATTAGGAGGTGGAGGAAATGTATGAGGATATCTCTAGAGCCATGCATTCCTCCAAAACCCAATATACGGTGTTAGTGGGAGACTTCAATGCAAAACTAGGCACAAGAGAGAACGGTGAGCTGAAAGTAGGGATATTTGGAATAGGGCAACGGAACCCAAGGGGCCAGCAGCTGGCCGACTTCATGGAGAAAGAGGGACTCTTTATGATGAACTCTTTCTTCCAGAAGCGGCCCCACAGGAAGTGGACCTGGTCGAGCTCCGACGGTTCGACAAAAAATGAGATTGACTTCATTATGACGACCAGACGACAACTGTTCAGTGATGTCTCCGTGATCGCGAAGGTGAAAACTGGTAGCGATCACCGAATGGTTAGAGGCACACTGAACCTAAACGTTAAGTTGGAGAGATCGCGTCTAATGAAACCAACGCTCCGTCTCCCTCGTGCTCTGTTCCAAAGTCCCGAAACCTTTCAGCTCGAGTTACAAAACCGTTTTCAGTGCCTAGAAGACTGCAATGAAGTGGACGATATGAATGACAAGCTCGTGGAAACTGTCCATTCGGTCGGAGCTAAGTTCTGCAAGACCCGCCGCAGAAGAACTCAAAAACTTTCCGATCACACTCCTAATCTCATGGCTGTTAGACGGGAGATGAAGCTGCATTCTTCAACAGATTTGACAGCATACAGGCAACTGAACAGACAGATCTCCAAAGGCATGCGGCGGGACTTACGCAACTTCAATACAGCTTGTATTGAAGAAGCGATCGAGCGGAACCTAGGCTCCAAAATCTTTGCCAGAGATTTGTGTGCCAGAAAGAGCCAACTGTCAAAGCTGAAGACCGAATGTGGCAGCATCATTTCCGGGACACCTGAGATTTTGAGTGAGATTGAGAGGTTCTATGGGCAGCTGTACACGTTATCGTTGGAGCCACACGCAAGTGTGAGTAACTATCCAAGAGCGAGTCTCATCCGACACTATACCGAAGATATCCCGGATGTCAGTGTGAGCGAGATTAGAATGGCTCTCCAGCACCTTAAAAACGGCAAGACCCCAGGCGAAGATGGAATTACAGCGGAGCTTCTGAAAGCGGGTGGAAGACCGATACTTGAAGTCTTTCAGAAGCTCTTTAATTCCATCCTTCATGGTGGCATTACACCGGAGGCGTGGAGCAGAAGTGCGGTAGTCTTGTTCTTCAAGAAAGGTGAAAACACTCTCTTGAAGAACTACAGACCGATTTCCCTTCTGAGCCGCGTCTACGTGCTGTTTTCGAGAGTCATTACGAATCGTCTCGCGCGCAGACTTGACGACTTCCAGCCTCCCGAACAAGCCGGTTTTCGAAAGGGCTTTAGCACCATAGACCACATACATACCCTTCGGCAAATTGTACAGAAGTCCGAAGAGTACAATTTGCCACTATGTCTGGCGTATGTGGATTATGAGAAAGCCTTTGATTCCATCGAAATTTGGGCGGTGCTGCAGTCCCTTCAGCGGTGCCAAGTTGACTTTCGGTATATCGAAGTGCTGAAGTGTTTGTACAGTAGAGCTACGATGGCTATCCGAGTACAGAACCAGAGTACGAAACCTATCCAATCGCAGAGAGGTGTAAGACAGGGTGATGTTATATCCCCGAAACTCTTCACCGCTGCATTGGAAGACGTTTTCAAACTTCTGGACTGGAAAGGATACGGTATTAACATCAGTGGCGAGTACATCACTCACCTTCGATTTGCCGACGTTATAGTCCTTATGGCAGAATCGCTGGAGGGCCTAAGCACTATGCTCAATGACCTCAATAGTGTCTCCCAACGGATAGGTCTTAAGATGAACATGGACAAAACAAAGATTATGTTTAATGTCCATGTCACACCTATGCCGGTAGTTGTTGGGAGCACTAAGCTCGAAGTTGTTGACGAATATGTTTACCTGGGACAAATAGTCCGACTAGGTAAGTCCAACTTCGACCGAGAGGTCAATCGACGGATTCAACTCGGCTGGGCAGCGTTCGGAAAGCTACGACACATCTTCTCGTCAGACATACCTCAAAACCTTAAAACGAAATTGTACAACCAGTGCGTGTTGGCAGTGATGACTTACGGAACTGAGATGTGGTCCTTCACTGCTGGCACGTATGAGGAAGCTCAAGGTCGCTCAGCGAGCTATGGAGAGGGCTATGCTCGGAGTTTCTCTGCGTGATAAACTTAGAAATGAGTATATCCGCAGTAGAACCAGAGTAACCGACATAGCCCAACGGATTAGTAAGCTGAAGTGGCAGTGGGCCGGTCATATAGCTCGAAGAACCGACAACCGATGGGGAAGAAAGGTTCTCGAGTGGCAAACTCGTACCGGTAGGCGAAGTGTAGGGCGACCCCCCACGAGATGGAGTGACGGCCTGGTAAGACATGCAGGAAGTCGATGGAAGCAGGTGGCTCAGGACCGTGCTTTGTGGCATTCCTTGAGGGAGGCCTATGTTCAGCAGTGGACTTATTATGGAAGGCTGTAATGATGATGATGATGAATGTTAAGTATATTTGTATTGTAGCCCATTAATTTAAAAAATAATATTTTTGTTTTACATTTTTATTTTTAACATTTATTTCTCCCGACAACAACCCCAAAATCTCGACATTTTCAAATTTTGTCCAGATATTTTGGTCCTCCGATCTGGCAACCCTACTTCCAAGTGACCACGAAAATGCACGTCCCTCGATATGTCGACGCCGAGGATTCCAATACTGGCTGAGGCAACAAGGGGAGTTGAAACTGAAGAGATACCACAAAGGGGTTCTTTTTAGCGGTAAATGCGCAAACTTGTGTCTTCTGAGGATTAAACTGGACTAGATTTAGTTGCCCCCAATCCGATACTTTGTTCAGCAAAGACTCGTCTTCAGATACAAGTTTGTTCTGGTACACATATATATATATATATATATATATATATATATATATATATATATATATATATATATATTTCTATACAAACATGTCAACACATTAATAAGAGGCATACGTTTATTAAGTTTTCATTAACTTATTTAGAAACGTTATAATAATATAATCAGTCGTTACTTTGCAGAAATATATTACATCGATTATGTCAAAATTCATTTGCTAATGTCCGCGAGCAAAAATAAAAAATTGGTGTATGTTACTTAGTTTAAAGAGCATGTTCCGCCCTCCCTCACATGTACTATGACTGCATAATACTGAACTGACAACTTTTTACGTGATAGAGGCACGCTGCAGATATTCGTAGCTGCAGCACGAATGGCTTCGACCGGGGTAGGGACACGCTCTCACAGAACACCAACATGAAACACCAAAATAATGCTGCTGAGTTTCGTTTGGCGAGTGTAGAGAACCGAAGACCCTTTTGACTGGTAACGCGGTTCCATCTTAGTCCTTAGGGGAAACAACGTATCTGAATTTTGATTCTTAGTTTATGATAGCATTCACTTACCATCAGGTTGACTGCGTGCTCGTGTATCAACCTTATCCGATAAAAAAAACAACTGGCTACAGCTACCACCATTACACCAACAACACTCTAGCTAGCCTCTAGTGAGCCTCTCTGTTGAACGAACTGTAGAAATGGCTTGTGTCGAGCTCGAGCACCTCATTGTTGTAAGTGTTTACAGACCCCCATGTGCTACTTATGACCATTTTGAAAGGATTGTGGAAGAAGTTTTACTCAAACTTAGTAAACAGAACAATTCTGTTGTAATGTGTGGAGACTTTAATATCAATCTCCTTGAAACTTCTTCCATTAGTATTAAGTTCGCTCATTGTTTAAATCGTATAATCTTGTAAATTTATTCTTAGAACCAACACGTATTGCTGGGCCTAGTGCGACCTGTATAGATTACATTTTTACAGATGTTAAGCCCTTGCATAATCAATTATTCAAAATTTAAGTTCAGATCACTGTGGACAGGTAGTATCACTACCTTACATACACAAAAAACAGAAAAATAAGAAAGTTGTGTTTGTTCCAATAAATGAACATCGCTTGGAGAGGTTTAGAAGTAATATAATAAAAAGACTTCCATCATTTTCGTTTAAAAATATTGCTAATTATTTGTATGCTACATTATTTGAAATTATAAGTTGTGAATTTAGTAGAATATTTACTTCTAAAACTTTCTCTTTTAACAGTCGCAAATCATTTAATGAATGGGCGACAGTAGGAATTTATAAAAGTAGGCAAAGGTTATACGAGCTTTATGATGAAAGATCATATAATAGTAGTGTTATATTTAGAGATTATGTAAAAACATATTCTAAAATATTTAAAAAAAGTGTGCTCCACTGCTAAGGCTTTACATTTAAGCAACAAAATTAAAACTGCATCCGACAAAATTAAAATGACCTGGAGAATAATAAATAGTGAAACGGGCAAGGTCAAACCGCGCAACTCCGATTTTCAATTGAATATTAACAATAATTTAACGCGATCTGATCAAGAAGTTGCTATGGCTTTTGAGAAACATTTTACTGATGTTCCTTTTTTGACAACAAAATCATTAAATTCTTCTCCTACTGTCGCCGAATCATTGCTCAAACAAAATGTAAAGGCTTGTTCAAATACTTTTAAATTCCATAGAGTACTGCCAAAAGGTATCGTTAAATATTTTAAAACTATTGATGTTAAGAAAACGGCAGACTTATGGGGGATTTCCGTTAAAGTTATTTTATCTATAATAGATATATTAGCACCTTATCTAGCCACTATATTTAATATAAGCGTCGAATCTGGTGTGTTTCCTGATTTAATGAAACATAGTAAAGTCATACCTATATTTAAATCTGGTAGTACATTAGACCCCGCCAATTTTAGACCAATTTCTGTACTACCAATATTAAGTAAAATTTTTGAAAAAATTATTATAGATCAGATGTTAAGTTTCTTTAATATTAATAAATTGCTACATAAAAATCAATTCGGTTTTACAAGGGGTCGCTCGACAACTGACGCTGGAGTTGAGCTTATTAAACATATTTTTTGTGCATGGGAGAATTCAGAGGATGCTTTGGGTATATTTTGTGACCTTTCCAAGGCCTCGACTGTGTTCACCATGAGACATTAATCAGGAAGCTACAGTACTATGGTGTCAAGAACACAGCGCTTAAACTTATTATGTCATATTTAAGTAATAGAAAACAGAAGGTTATTATCAATGGTAAAAGTTCTTCCGAGTCACCTGTACTAATGGGTGTTCCTCAGGGCTCTATTCTCGGCCCATTCCTGTTTCTGGTGTATATTAATGACTTACCTCACCTTGTAGGGGATAGTCATGATATAGTATTATTTGCTGATGATACTTCTGATGTAAACACTAGGAACAAACACAAGCTAGTGATGCCAGTTTCTCGACTCCACAGAGTCAGTAATTCATTCTTGGGGCAATGTATACGCTATTACAACAAGGTCCCGGAAAGTGTACAGGTTCTCTCTATGACCAAGTTTAAATGTTTTATTAAGCTGAAACTCTATAAAAAGGGTTATTATAGTATAAATGAATACATGGTTGATAATAACCCCTGGGAATGAGGTGGTCGCTTCCAAGCAGTTTCTAAAATAAATTTTGTAATAGTTCGTAATCATTTATATTATAAAATTTATTTTAAAAAAAGGTCCCGCTGGGTTTCTTGCTGGTTCTTCCCAGGACAGAGGGTTTTTTTCGAACCAGTGGTAAAATAAAAAATGACTTTCAATAAGAATTACACATGTAATGTATATTGAATAAAAAATATTCTATTCTATTCTATTCTAAAACCGTCGACAGAAAATAGGGTCAAAGGTGAGAATAGTATTACGATCACCAACCAACCTGCCGAGCATGACGATTGTGGCAGATCATCCGTACAACGGGCGAGGCCCATGTCTGGCAGTGGACTTTTTTTATAAAACTGAAGTAACACACAAACTTACAGTCAACCTGATAGTAAGAGTGGCTACTGCGGTCCAGGGACGCCTGCAGCTTACTTTAAACTGAAGGGGCTACGAATGCGTTGTAACCTCTGGGAACTAAGATGAAATGCCTCACAGTCTGTAGTTATATTGGCTCTCAATATCCTTCAAATCGGGGCGCAGCAGTGCAAGCACTGCTATTTAGCGGTAGAAAAAAGTAAGAAGCTGGTGCCTATATGACGGACTTCAGACAGAAATGGTGTCCTACCATCTAATAAACTTTACAAGAGAGCGGAAGCAGAGGAAACGTTTTTTTTATAGAATAAGGGTGACAAACGAGCACACAGTCCACCTGATGGTAAGTGGTTGCAGTGGCCCATAGACATCTACATCTATCTTCGTTTTCGAATTAAAATGCAGATGCGTTGTCAGCCGTGAGGATTAAGAAAGAATGCCTCTTTTCCAGTAAAAAGGGTCTCCAGTTCTCTACACTCACCATACGAAACAGCAGTATTAGGCTGCTATTTTACGCTGGTATTCTGTGAGAACGCGGTCCTTCTCCGATCGAGCCGACCCTTTCTATAGCTATACTATTAATGTAGCAGCTACACAGCTATACTATTAATGTAGCTGCACCAAGGCTCTACCACGTTCATTCTAAACAAATAAAATCTAAGGGCACGTACCCATATAAGGAACATTGCACTCCTCATTCCACTTGAGAGATGCCAGAGTCTTTTTGCAAATGAATGAATTCTTTTTAGAGCATTTATCGTCATTAAGCGTACCATCTCGGCGCATTATCACGCAGTCTTCTTCATCGTTCTTGTCATTGGGCTCGCCTGGTGCCCATTTGTTGTATACTTGTCTTATTGAAAATCCTGCAAAAACAATAACCAAATAATTATGAAAACAACAAAATAAATGAACCCGACACTGTTCTTGATAATGTAGGCTCAAATAATCTGTGGGATAGAAAAGAATGTACCCTCTGTATGTATCATTTCAAATGCCACTGAAAGTTTTTAGAACTGGCCACTAGTAAACTATAATAATAAACAATAAAAAAATAAGTTCAAATTTTGAAAATGGAACTCTTTGCCAATATTATAGTGTATGTATTTTATTAATTTGTCATTTGTTTACGATTTGGCGGCAAATTACAAATTATGTGTGTCACGACAGCATGAATTTAAGGCGAGAAAATCTTCGTACAATGATTTTTTATGACTTTCGATGTCATTTAAGTCAACAAGAAAGTTATAATAGACTTCGATTGGCCTTCCACGATGAAGCCCCATCTCGTGCCACTGTTTACAACTGGTTTAATGATTTTAAACGTGATCGCACTAATCTCACCGATGATTTGCGTGAGGGACGGGCTTCAACGGCGACGAATGAAGATAACATCAGTGGTGCGGTGTATGATAGAAACTGACAAAAGAGTGACTTATCAGCAGATTCGGACAAGCTTAGGCATCGGTATGAGTCAAGTGCACAAATTCCTCCATGAATATTTACCGGTCAGGAAGCTTTGTGTCCGGTGGATACCTCATAATTTGACAGAGGCCCATAACTCAGTCGTTGTGATTGGTGTCCTGAAATGGTTCAAAGATTTAACGGAGGTGACTCAAATGCTGTGTTCGACATACATACGGGTGACGAAAGCTGGATTTATTTTTATGATCCTGAAACTACTAACTCTGCTGTCTGGGTGTTCCCTTTCGAGAAGTTGCCAACTAAAGTGAAGAGAGGTCGAAGCGTGGGAAAAAAGATGGTGGCCTCGTTCTTCGGAAAGACAGTTCATTACGCAACAATTGTTTTAGATGATATAAAAACAGCTACTGCAGAGTGCTACACTAACAATTGTTTGTCACTTGTCTTGGAAAAAGTTCGGGAGAAACGACCTCGTATTAGGATCCTCCTTCACCACGACAATGCCTCGTCGCACACCGCCAAGCAAAGAATCGACTACTTCGACCCCTAAGGACGAGTGGGCAAAGTGCTTTTCTGAGTGGTTCCATCGGATGCAGCGATGTATTGATGTAAATGGACACTTATGAAAAGATATAATAAAACTAATAACTTGTTATTTTGTTCAGTTTTTGATTTTCTAAGAACTTTCAGTGTCACACACGTAAAGCTTATTTGTAGCCTGAATATGTCTAGAGTTGATTGTCTCTTTTCATGACTTTAAAGTGTAAATCAATATCAATGCAACTATAAAATGTCAGCATAATTGACGTTAACGTATTATAGCACTATACGTTAATAACCTAAGCGTATATGTACAGATACTAACCATCTATAGTTTTAAAGACTCCTTTTGCAAGTTTGGACGAAATACCAATAAACACCCATTGATACGAAGGCTGCGTCTCCTTTAAGTGGGTTAGGACTACATCAGCCTCATTCTGATCTTTGGGATAGAAAAGAGAAGCACCTTCCATTGCACATTTCCTTTTCGCATTTTCCCACGTCTTGTGTATTGTGTGTACTTTATAAAAGCTCCGCGTGTCCTCCAAATATTTGTAATCATCTCTAAAAAACTTAACTTGCGGTTGTCCATCTGAAATATTATTTGTAAAATTAATAATTATTTCTGGGTTTTTCTATGCATATCAACCCGGAATATCTTTTTTAAATATAGCTTACATGTGAACTCCAAAACATATTGTATTAACAAGTAAATAAATAAATATTTCGCACGAGCCATATCTTCAAAGCTGTTTTCACAGAAATGTAAACGTGTGTTTACCGCGGACTGCATATAGTCAAATGAGAACAGTCAATCATACGGTCGTACTTCGCGGCACATAAACAAGATTAACAGGAAATATCTGCTTGGAGCTTCAGTATCTAAGAATGTAAAACTTTAATATAAAGTATTTATTATCTGATAAGAGCTGTTTTTCCCCATTTCCATTAAGGTCACGTGTAATATGTGGGTTAACTATAAGCAGTAGGCTATCAATCTTCTCCGAGTTCAATATAATAATGCCCTCAGAGTGATATTCGGACTCCAGCGATTTTGCAGTGCATCAGGTATGTCAAGGTATGTTTGCGCAAGCGCATACTGACGGCTTTCGTGATATACGCCAACGAATCGCCTCTTATGCGCAGAATGCGAGGGAGCTCCAACACTATTCTGAAGGTAAATAGCCAGACTATCCAGACATGAGGCACATCGTCTGGCTGACTGTCAGTACAGACAGGCGTATGTACCAAGTGCCGCAAACTGTCCTGGAAAATATTTAAATTAATGTCGTAGTGTAGTTTCATTCTGTTTACTAATATAATTCGTAATTTTTTTAAGATTATAATTACAAATGTTTAATATATTTATTTTAATTATATACAATATTAAAAACTATAATAATAAAAAAAACTAAAACTAGAAACTTAATTATCAAAGAACGCTGGCTGCGTTTTCCCGCTGAATGGCTATACTTAGCCTTTGCGCGAGAAAAGAACCAGCCCTCTTATCACCAGCACCAACGACCAGCCGCGGATGGAGTTCCTTTAGGAACTTCACCGCATGTGGACCCCACGGACCGATAGTCTCTTCAGCAAATGGCACAAATATGTAGTCATCTCTCAGAGACTCATATTTATTTATACTACTGAAATTTTGTACTAACATTTTTATGGACCCAAAGTCTGAAATAAATTAATTTTTTTGTTTTATAAATCCATGAAAACAAATAGATTAGGTTAAGGTAATATGAAATACCATGAGAAAAATACAATTATGTCATGATTATCCACTATACGTATGGCGAATGTAGAGAATCGGAGACCCTTTCTAATGTACTCGCCATTGAAAATAATACCGTATCCTTTCCAGTCCAGTAGCTTAATAACGTCTTCCAATGCAACGGTGAAGAGTTTAGAGGATATAACATCACCATGTCTTACACCACTCTGCAGTTGGATAGGTTTCGTACTCTGGTTCTGTATTTGGATAGCAATCGTAGCCCACCCGTACAAGCACAAGATATACCGACAGTCTACTTGGCCCCACTGAAGGGACTGTAGGGACTTTGTCATAGTCCACATAAGCAAGGCAAAGTCACAGATTGTACTCTTGGCTCTTCTGTACAATTAGCCGAAGGGTATGTATGTGGTCTGTGGTACTAAAGCCTTTTCGGAAACTGCCTTGTTCGGGAGGCTGGAAGTCGTCGAGTCTGCGTGCGAGATGTTTGGTAGTGACACTTGAAAACAGCATGTACACGTGGCTCAGAACGGAAACCGGTCTGTAGTTGTTTATGAGAGCGTTATCGACTTTTTTGAAGAACAAGACTACCGCGCTTCTGTTCCACGCCTCCAAAGTAATGCCACCATGGAGGACGAAATTAAAGAGCTTCTGAAGTACTTCAAGAACTGTTTTTCCACCCGCTTTGAGAAACTCTACTGTAATTCCATACTCGCCCGGGGCCTTGCTGCTCCACCTCCTTGTGACAGATGGTCCCGGTAATAGAACAAGTTGCCGGATTCGAGGATTACCGTGTGCTTCACTTCGGACCTCAGATAATCCTATATTATCCCAGCGCAACTTTTCTATTTCTTCCTCCAGCTCCAAGTATTCTCGTCAGTCTTCAGGGTGCGTGCGTTAAATATTGCCAGGTTGAGTCGTCTTAGGTGGTAACCAAACCTCCACCGTAAATTTTTAGCAACCCCTGCCCCGACATTACCATGGTCGCCACCGTCAGGAATAGCAGGGCCGCCGGGGTCTGGGGCCGTTTATTTGTGTCGTTGCTCATAGCATAGCATGTTTGCTAAACCTCATGGCAGTCTTCAGCAAATATGACAGTATACAGGCAACTGAACAGACAGATCTCCAAATGCATGCAGGGACTTACGCAACTTCAATACAGCTTGTGTTGAAGAAGCGATCGAGCGGAACCACGAATCTAAAGTCTTTGCCACAGATTTGTCTGCCAGAAAGATCCAGCTGTCGAAGCTGAAGACCGAAGGTGATAGCACGGCTTCCGGGATATCTGAATTTTGAGTGAGATTGAGAGGTTTTACGGGCAACTGTACTCGTCATTGTTGGAGCCACACGCAAGTGTGAGTAACGATCCATGAGCAAGTCTTATCCGACACTATTCTGAATATATCCCGGACGCCAGTCTGAGCGAGATTAGAATGGCTCTCAGTCTCCTTAAAAACGGCAAGTCCCCGGGCGAGGATAGATTTACTGCGGAGCTACTGAAAGCAGGTGGAAAACCAGTACTTGAAGTCCTTCAGAAGCTCTTAAATTCCGTCCTCCATGGTGGGACTACTCTGGAGGCGTGGAGCAGAAGTGCGGTGGTCTTGTTTTTAGAAACGGCGACAACGCTCTCTTGAAAAACTACAGACCGATTTCCCTTCTGAGCCGCGTCGACGTGATGTTTTCGGGAGTCATTACGAATTGTCTCGCACGCAGGCTCGATGACTTCCAGCCTCCCGATCAAGCTGATTTCCGAAAAGGCTTTAGCACGATGGACCACATACATACCCTTCGGCAAATTAGACAGAAGACCGAAGAGTACAATCTGCCACTTCGCCTTGCGTATGTGGACTATGAGAAAGCCTTTTATTCCGTCGAAATTTTGGCAGTGCTACAGTCCCTTCAGCGGTGACAAATATGACTGTCTGTATTACGAAGTGCTGAAGTGTTTGTACAGTAGACCTAAGATGGCTATCCGAGTACAGAACCATAGTACGAAACGCATGCAACTGCAGAAAGGTGTAAGGCAGGGTGACATTATATACCTGAAATTCTTCATCACTGCATTGGAAGATGTTTTCAAGCTACTGGACTGGAAAGGATACAACAGTATTAACATCAATTTCGATTACATCACTCTCCTTTGATTTGCCGATGATATGATATTCTATATATATGAGATTCTGCCTTAGGGACTAAGGCAGAATCTCTGCAGGACCTAAGGACTAGGCTCAATGAGGTCATCACTCAATAGTGCCTCCCAACGCATACATAGGTTTTAAGATGAACATGGACAAAACAAAGTACATGTTTAACGTCCATGTCACACTTATGCCGGTAGTTGTTGGGAGCACTAAGCTCGAAGTTTACCCTAACTAGGTAAGTCCAACTTCGACCGAGAGGTCAATCGAAGGATTGAACTCGGCTGGGCAACGTTCGGGAAATTACGACACATCTTCTCGTCAAAACAAAACAAACTTAAAAACAAGATTGTACAACCAGTGCGTGTTGCCAGTGATGATTTATGGATCTGAGACGTGGTGGTGGTAAGTCGTATCGATCCGGAAAAATCGCCGGTGATAAACAATTCCACAGCGAAGTTGTACAAGGAAAAAAACTCCTAGTAAAACGGACAGTGGTGGATCGCCAAGCATCCAGATGGTGACGATGGTATCGTGAATTTTGACGCGATGTGCGTTCGTGAAATTTGGCGGCTGGAATCAATCCGAACAATTCCTCAGAGCACTCCCCGTGGTAGATTCGATAGAAAACGCAAAGCGATGCAACACCCATCCCTACGCAGCACCAGTGAATCGAGCAGATCAGAAAGAACTCGGTCGTCGACGATTCGAACCGCTCTGCGCTAGATGCAGTCAAGTGGAAGGAGCTGACACTGGGTTGCCCCGGCCTAGAGATGAGAACAGTATTACATGTGAGGCCGAACTTGCGCTTTGTAAAGTTGCAAGCGATGTGCCGGCATGAAATACTGTTTCGCTCTGCTGAGCACGCCAAGCTTTTTAGAGGCCAATTTGGCCTTCCCTTCCAAGTGACCACGAAACTGCACACTATTCGATATGTCGACGCCAAGGATTCCGATACTAGCTGAGGCAGCAAGGGGAGTGCCTTGAAACAGGAGATACGACAAAGGGGTTCTTTTTAGCGGTAAACGCGCAAAGTTGTGTCTTCTGGGGATTGATATGGACTAGATTTAGTCGCCCCCAATCCGAGATTTTGTTCAGCAAAGACTCGACTTTAGACACAAGTTTGTCCCGGTACTCTGCGACGTTTTCTCTAGAAATATTGGCATTTAATCCGCCTCTGCACAAAAGTAGATATACGCAAAGGCACCAAAAGTATAAAACAAAATACCTAAATTTATAGGAGATTGTGACAACATTAATATTTATAAACGTAAACTATATAATCCACTAAATAATAATTAGGATATTATTCTATAGATGAATTCCTTAACGATAAACTTTGACATTGGGACATATGCCTTTATTGATAACATTGGATTTATATGTTTTAAATATTATATTATTAAACTGCATTGACTACGAGTACATACTTATCATGACATGTGCAAATTAATACCAGATGACAATATAAGAAAATGTTAACAAAAAATATACATATCGTCACTGGAAAGACCATACTACTTAAACGCCAAAAGGGCATTTTACAGTAGAGCCATTTTATGTTTTTTTTACAAAACCGTTCCTAACTTTTTTTGTAATTAAGATATCGAAATAATAAAAGCAAAGAAAAAATCGTGATTTTATTATCTACGTACTGGAATCGAGATATTCTGCATATTTCTTGTAATTTAGAAGTTAGCTGTCACTTTAGTACATTTGCTCTGTACACTTCGTAAGGAGAAACTACTTATCTCCATAATATATATGTTTTTACTAACAATTAACGTCCTTTTCAATGTATGAAAGGAAAAAGTACTAACACGCATTACGGGTTGATAAAGGTCTCAGGATAGTAGTACTTAAACATTATAACATGTCACAAGACCGTACGTAAAAGCGACGTATAGTATTAAAAGTTGTACCATTGTTATGCCAAAAAGGCTTATGTAAAAGACATATGATTTAAATTTAAATGTTATTTTCTTAACGGACATAGACAGT